TTAATGATGATGCCACTGGTGGTTGGTTGAAGCCGGCCTGCCTGCGGGGCTACCGCGCTGCAGCTAAGTGTGAAGTCGGAGCTGGGATTCTGAGCCAAGGGGCACATATCAAAGTCTGGCCCAGATAGAAGGTCTTAGACTTGGGAAAGGAAGACAGATCCCGCTTTCTACCTCGAAACTGTTATGTTAGCCGCTTCGAGAAGAGGTAGAAAGCGGAATATGTGGTCCGGTGCACTTGCCCCCCCATAAGAGACCCTGCGATTCGCCCTCTCAGTGAAATCCGTTGTGACGTGACGTAGGGAGCCGAGCCATCTAGGTAAACACGGAAGCTAATTCTTAACTAAAGAAATGAGAGGTGGAAATGCAGACCGATCATGTCACCTAATCCTTTCAGGGATGTAGAAAAGTTCTCAGAACAACAGCTGCGAAATGCAGATGAGCTGAGAAACGTTTTCTCTCCCCAAGCCGGAGCTCCATTTGTTCGTAAAGTCATTATTCAGAGTTTGTGTTCACGAAAAACCCAAATGGGTTTGATGGTGTCATCCTTGAACAATAGCTTAAATATTTCTTCATATGGTAGGCTTCTTTAGGTCTTTTAAAAGTCCAAATTGCCATTGAATTTTTAGGGTAGCAAAATATAGGAACCAATGAAGAGGGAAGTATCAAGTTTTTAAGTTGAACTCTGAGTCGAAAGGCCCGGTGACTAAGCGCCACTGTTGCGGCTGAAATGGCAACAGTCTAACGGCCCTGAGTCTCCCAGTGCAGCCTCCCCTGGGAGGTCCGTGAACTTCCCTCTTTCTGAAACCGCCCCTCCCCCTGTCCTTGACCAGGCGGACTCATTCTCTGTAAAACAAAGCCCTGGCCGGTCCCCTGCAGGCCCGTCCCCTGCAGGCCGGCTCCCGCTCCCCTCCCGCCCTGTAGGGACATCCCCAGGGCAGGACCCTGCATCAGAGCTGTTTCTTCGCGCCCATCCCCCCCCCAGCCTGGCCAGCGCCTGCTCCTGAGGCTGTCACGGCTTTTTGCTCTGCATCCCTGGGGCCCGGCGCGTTCCGAAGGTTCCAGGTTCCGTGACTCACTGCCTGGGTGGGTGGCTGAGGGAATGAGGGAGTGGACACGTGAGAGCGAAGGCATAAATGCAGAAGAGGACACAGGAACCAGCAGCGACAGTTGAATGAGTGAGAGAAACTTCTCCAAAGAACTTTCCATCTGCTATGGCAGGAAATGACTCAAAGGCGGGCCAGAAGACAAGGCGGCTTTATTCTGTTGCTATTACCTGCTTTGTGATTTTGTTTTTCATTCTCATAAGTAAGCGACATCATTTCTAGAATATCCAGTCTTCATTTACTGGGAAATAAGACAAGTGGATCCCCGCCCCCCTCGGTTTCAGCATTTAACTTCTTTGTGAGTCGCTGCAGTGGTCATCAGAATTGCGCATTTCACTATTGTTCAGTGAATTATCTCATGAAAATCCAAGTTAAAAAAAAGTGAATAGTTATATTGACAATCATTTAGAAAGTGTAGGGTGTCTCTCTGTACTGAGTCTTTTTTAACCAACGTATTTCATTGACAATCTGAGCATTGACATCCTGCGGTTAGAGATTTTGTCTGTCTCATTAAATACTTCTTTATTATCAAAATTCCCTGGTTCACTGGAGAAGACACAAGGCAGGCTGACTAGGATTGTGCCTCGGTTGCTTCTGCCAGACCTCTGTCCGTGTGAGGGTTGAGCAGATCGCCTTGGACGAGGTTCTGAAAAGTTGAGTAAACGGTTTGCGAACAGTCAGAAAGTAGAAACGAGAAGGGTGGATCGGGAGCTCTAGAATGAGAAAACAGAGTAGGGAGAGATTAAATCGAAGATTTGAAAACAACGCTCTGAATAAGAAAGAAATTTAAGCACCTGAGACACTGGCGTGTGAGGGACACGTGAGGGAGGGTGCTGGTCCCCCCTGCGCCTCAGCCCCTGGGCTTCCCCCTCCTGTGACACCCCCCACCCCACCCACCCACGTTCCAGGCGCCATCGGCCGCTTACTCGACGCCCTTCTGGCCACTGGTGACTCGGAGACGGGTGACGTTGACCGGAAGGAATGGGGAGCCGGGCGCAGAGGGCAGGAGTCGTTTTTAGGCATCAGGGTTTGTATAAACAACGACATGTATTTCAAGTCAGGTAGCGGATGTGTTGATCATTAATATGCTCAACAAGAAATGTAAGTTTGCCGTAATTCCGCTAATACTGGATTTTCCAAATGGTTGCCCTTAAGGAAAGGAAAATAGTAAATGAAAACTTTAAAAATCACAACTGCCTTTTTTTTAAACCTCACATTTATAAATACTTTATATTTAAATTCAGAATATGCTGAAAGAAGTTTTTTAAGAAAGCGGGGCCCATGACAAAACACATGCCCTTTGTTTTAGCTCATGAAAGAGCTGCTTCCTGTAAATAAGGAAAAACGAGATGAAAAGTCCCAGGTACGGATACTTTCTGCATATTTTGAACTTAAACTAAGTTTATAAAACTTTTATTCATTCGAGCAGTTTGAATAGTTCTCTTCTGTAGTCGCTAGAGTCACTAATTATTTAAATTGATGCTGGGTGATTCTTCCTAATACACTCACTGCCTCAAGAATATCTAAACGGGGGTCATTCCGTTATCTGGCACAAATTATGTTTGGAGGGAACTCTGATTCACGGGTATTTCTGTAGTCCTCCTCGTTACGTAAGGCGGGGCATCGCGAGAGGAGAATGCTGTGCAGCGTAGAGAGATGTCATGATGTTGGATATAATACGTAACGGTGCCATTGTTGTTAGAGCCAGCTGGACGTTGAGTGTTTTCTCAGACACTGAGCCCTGTTTGGTTTTTCTCCCTAAAACGGTCTTAGTAAGTTGCACGTTCTCTGCATTTCTGTCAGTTAGTTGCCCACCTGATTTCAAGTGCCACATAAGATTTGACCTTTAAGCTTTGAATGTCCCGTTTTTGTTTAAAAAACATATTTAGGCAGGCCCTTTGTTCACTTCCGCTTCCGAAGTGACGCCGGAGACTTGCTCCTTAAAAACACGAATCCGAAATGGTGCCCCGTGTTTCACAGATGCTGTGGCACCCTATAAAACCATATCACTTTCCGTAAGATCTCAGTTTTCAAAAGACAGCGAGGACCTCCGTTGAGAGAGACAGACATCGCGTCACCTGATGTCAGTGTGAGATCTGTCCCCTTTTCCTCTCGCCCAGGCCGATCACTAGTGGCGCTGTCGTACAAGTCGGATACACCCGACAGTCCTGTATCAACATCTAAAGCTCCGGGACGCAGTGAGCTCTAACGTGTGAGGCCCACTTTGGGTACGAACATGTGTCCTGGTACACGTGGCACTCGGGCGTGGCTGGGTGGCTGCCTTCACGTTGTGGGTCTCGGAGGGTTAGACGGGTGGACAGGAAGGAGCTCCAATGGCAGCAGCCTCTGTCATTCTGCCGAGAACCGTGTGGGTGACCTGGAGCGCAGCGCAGAGGCCCATTGTTACCTGCTGGGTGTGTCGGCCTTGACCGTGAGCGGGCTGGCGCCTGGCAGCAGCCACTCCGAACATGCTTTTCTTTTTAATACTTCGGTACCGACCTCAGTGCTTTGAGATTCCTTTAGAAATATACAGATCAAAATATATTAGTGTTTTTCCCCACTTCATCGACAACAAATATTCATGAACTTCCATCTGACCTCCGATATCATCATCCTTTGGAAATGTTTGTAAAGAATCCATTTTATTTTTATTTGCTATTATTTTTCTCATTTAAATATTTCAGCGTTGCTTTTGAATTCCCCTTTAGCATCTGAATTAAGCAGTTTTTTCTTCTCTGATTTTATAAAGGCCTTTGCATGTTCGGACCTTAATTTTTGCCTGATTTTCAACTTACTCTGTAAAACTACTTAAAAAACAACAAAGTACATATTTTTACAAACGTGTGAAGTAATGCAAACTAAACAAATTTTTTGAGACAACACAAACCACGAAGTGTCTCCATGTACTATTTATTTTTATTGATGTAATATCTACTGAATTTTGAATTATTTCTGTAATTTAAAGTAATAAGTGGAAAGCTAATCCCCTCAATTGAAATGGATTTTTTAAGCAAGTGATTACCTAATAATAATATTAGTAATTGAATAGATTACTGACATATAGGAATAGATATGAAATTCTTAAAGTTATTATATGAACATATTTTCCTTGAACATGGTTGATGATGCAGTGCTCAGAATCATCGCAAAATATTGGATAAATAAGGATTTTCAAAGTAATATCCTTTCTCCCAGAGTTTACAGGAATTTCTTTAAAAATATGGGATTAGGCTTGAGGGAGGTCACCAAGGTATTTCTTTTCATTTTGATTATTTAATGTCTGACTTCCTGATAGAAAACTTTAGAGGCATTTTTATGAGTTATCGTGTCCCTGTATAAGTTTATAATCTTAAAAAGTGGTTCCGTGTTAGTGTCCAAGTTCATTTCATTTGTTCGGAGGGAGTCGCTGTCATTCTAACGAAGGAGTCAGATTAGAAATAACATCAAAATCGTCGCGCTGCTCCCGACACACCCAGTTTCTGGTCATCGTTGAACTGCATCTCCAGCGGATAACGTGTGTCACTGTGAGTTTCGCGGAGCCCGCAGAAGCTTTTGCGCCTTGTTGTTTTGACCAGAACTGCTCTGTGAAACCTGAAGGCAGATGCACTCATTTTAGGAACCGGATGAGCCGGTGTTAGAGCTCGTGTTCTCTCGAGATTCAAAAAGCTGAACCACAATCTTTCCCTCCCTGGAAGGTCACCCACCTCGGTGCAGAGGGGGCCACGGTGGAGCCCACAGAGCCAGGTGGGGTCCCCTTCGGGCTGTGCGACGCCGTCGCTAAACCTAGGGCGCTTCGGCTCACGTCCGGGCTGTGCCCCATACTGCCCCTGCGACCCTGTGCCTGAGCGTGGCCATCGTTAAGCCTGCCTGTGAAGGCCGAGGAAGGCACCGCGTGAAACTCTAGAATGGCGTCCGAGTCGCAGGGAGTCCCCTGTGGACAGCAGCTTCCCGGAGACGGCTGTCTCTCAGCCGCGGCGCTGGAAGTAGCGTTTAGCTGCAGCCCAGAGTTCCCGCATGGGGCAGAAAGCACCGTGTCGGATCTGCACTGCAGTTGTGCCCTGGAGACGTAGAAAAGATGCTAGTTCCACCAGCACCCAGATCCAAGTAGCGTGGCCCCTAGCCGTGGCCCCCCGCTGCCAAAGTAACTAGGTGAATCAGCAGTCATGTGTGTCCTGTGTGGTTATTTAGCAGCTCGAAAGTAGGAATCGATCTGGCAAAGCAAGAGTTTTTCTCCAATTAGTGACTTTTAAGCCCTTTCTGCTGCCTCTCACTGTTATTCCTGGGGCCTGACACGTAGGTGACTGTCTTACCCTCCTGGTGCTTATGTCAGGGGCACACACAGCTCTCCCATCTCACGGAGGTGCTGTCCCCTACATCCATTACAAGGAGAAGGGATGAGAGGTGACCTTATCCATGTAACTTAAACTGTCACCTGGTATGACGAGACTCTCCACGGACCCATATGAATTTACATTTTTAACCAAATTAGTCAAGTTATAGGCATAAAATATGGTGCATAGCTGTTTGTAACATAAGTTCCTTGGGGTTTTTCCCGCCTTGCTTCGCCGAGATGAACTGCAGCTGATGCCCAGGTCGCTAGGTCTGTTTAAGTGTGCCTTGAGAACAAGCAGTAGTGACCTCTGGTATTTCAGGGTGAACTACAGCAGATTCGGAATCGGACCCGTGTAAATCCTCGCTTGTGCAGTTACAGTCTACCTTTTTTCCAAAGGATTTGAGGTGATTTATGATGAAAACCACGACTCACCGGTTATTAAGACAGAAATGGGGGCACAGGTTCAGCACCAAGGACAGAGGGGCTGCGCGGGCACCGGGCGGGGCTGGCGGTCACGGCTGGAAGGGAGGCTGGGGCGAGTCGTTTCTGTCCTGAAGGAGGAAGTAACCCCGTTCCTCGGGGAGGAGAAAGTTCGTCCTGCTAAACTGTGATGGAAAAGTCTCGTGTGAGGGCCCGCGAGTCGAACACCAGGAGCGCCTTCCACAGCGGTTACGTGGCAGAGACCCGCGTGGCGTTTCGTGGAAGCCAAAGCGCGCCCTGGCGCGTGGTCCTGGAAGGTGATTTGGCAGTGGGGTGAACCAGTGTGTCCCCAGCCCGCAGCCCCTGGCAGTCTGCTTTGGTTGACGGCAGAACTCGATTATCCAGAGTCGGAGAGAGGAATTCTGTCCCTTCCGGAGGCTCCCCTAGGTTTCCCTCCTCTCGGCATTGGTCGGAGCCAACCTTCTATCGTTGATGGTTCGGTACGCCGCCCGTGCTCTTTGACAAGGACCTGGAGTGGTGGGCTCTATCCCGCCCGAAAACAAACAGCAAGCCACGTCGACGCCCTCGACCGAGGTTGAGGCCTCAGCCCCGTGGGCACAGGTGGAAGTCGGGCCAGCCTCGGGCACCGAGCGACGTCTCGGAGGCGCCCCTCGTCCACCGTCTGGCGACCGCCTAGGGCTGGTGCTGCCTGCCAGTACCTTATAACTCATCCCTCCTGACTGGAACTCAGATTGTCCCTTAAACCGAGTGACATCCCTTTACAGTGCTAACGCTTTGAAATCCAACCAGGTAACAAGTGTCCCTGAATCGTTACGGTGCGTGCAGAGCTGCGTTAGGCATCGCGAGGGGTTCGACCCAAAAGGCCAAGGAGGTAGCGGGCGGCGGAAGAGGCCGCCTCGCACATCCGGCTGCTCGGGTTCTGCGTCGGGTTTTAATGGGTTCTTAGTTTCTTCATTTGCGAATCAAGATTGTTGCGGGAGGATACAGTGCTTTAAAAATAGGTCTTAAAGACCAAAGGATCGTGAAGCGCTAGCTTTTGGGGAGTTGTCTGTCTGTCAGTAACTGACCGAGGCGACCGTGTTTCTGTCCCTGTAGCTGCGACAGCTGGTGAACATGTGCATCAGCCCAGATCCAGAGAAGCGGCCGGACATCACCTACGTGTATGACGTGGCGAAGAGGATGCACGCGAGCACCGCGAGCAGCTGAGCACGCTGAGCGCGAGGTCACGGTCGCGGAGCACGCGGCCGCAGTCACTCAGAGTATTCTCGTGCGAGTCACGCCTCCCGTTTTGTCTGGGTGTTAGGATTAATATTTCAGAGCTCGTGTGCTTCGACTCCTTAACCAGTTTTCATATAAGCTTCATTTTGTACCAATTTAAGTCACCTTTCCGCAAAACCCCGGATGACTTTGTAATAATGCAATTGCATGCTAGGAGAGAAAATGAACATGATGGTTTTCAATGGCTGAAGATCTCTAGAACGATTTAGCGTCTCCTGGGCATGAGGTGTGTTCGGATGGACTCTCGGTGCCAAACGTGGAAGGCTCAGCTTGGCACTCCTCACAGCCTGAGCACGATGTCTGAACCTGCGGCCGTGTGCGGCTTAGGCATTTATGGACATTTGAGATGAACACGATTGTGAACTTTTGTGATTATTTTATTTTTAAAAGTTTGAAGTATGTTTTAGTTCTTAGCATTGTAGCTTTCAAATATAATTCTTAAGATAAATGTTGACATAAACTATTTGCGAAACATTTGAAATTCTTATACATTCAAAATGCAACTATTAAATGTGAAAAGATTTGGGGATAAAATGTGAGTCAGACACTGAAGAGTTTTTTGCTTTATTTCGTTTTCATACCTTTGATATTCGCTTTGCGTTAAAATGGTATAAATGGATCCATTTTAAAGTGGTTAAGGATTCGTTTGGCCGGCGCGATAGGAATTTCGAATGTTGCACGTTGCCAGGGCTTTTGTGTGTTTTCATTATTGTTTGTGCATTTGAAAAATATTCTTCAAATCTTGCAGGACTATGTTTCAATTTCTCTATCCATTTAAATGCTCTACTCATAATTGTACACTATCCTGTAAGCGTATGTTTCTCTTCATAGATTTTATTGAAGTCGTGATCGGTCCCCTTCAAGAATTTTTTTTTTATATTCTTCAAGTTATCTTCTTATTTATATTCTATGTGCATTTTATCCATTAATGTTTCAGATTTTCCGACAATGTAATACCCTTAGAAAGTATTTGGTATGCTGACACTTTTCCTGGATCAAAAACATGTTTTTCAACTTTGCAAAGTCCGGGCCACACTGTGTCTATGTGTCGCCTTGTCGGAGAAGAAGGCACGTGTGCTGTGCCCGTGAACGTCAGTAGAACTTCAGCTCAGTGGACAAGGTTGTAATTTTAGAATATGTTTAAAGAAATGAAAACTGGCCATTACCACAGCCAGAATTTTTATGAGATTGACATTTCCGTTGAGAAGCTCTTAAGCAGAGTGCTGTGTTCCTGCACGAAGGTGTCAGATGTGATAACGCTTCGCTTAGGGTGGGAGCGGGCGGGGTTCTGTGCGTGCCGCTGTGGGGCCGCGTTGTCCCCGGACGCCCTCCTGTAGCCCAGAAGGCCGAGTGGCAGCCACCGAGAAGGACGCCGTGCCGTGTAACCTTGGGTTTGATAATCCTGCCAACGCGAAGACCTCGTCCCCGGAGAACACCCGCCCTTAGCTGACATAACCTCGGGTTCTGGTTTTTCCTGTAAGTATTTTTCTTACAATCATTGAATACGTTCAAGTCATTTGTAAACGTTAAAAATGTATAAAGGGCAAAGTATAGACTCTCCCTCTTTTCCAGATGTGACCAGCGGTGGTGTCTTAGTGGGCTGTGCTATCTGCAGCGGGTGTCACCTGGCACAGGCAGAGACAGCGGTCGGTCCTTTACCGGAGGGCCGGGCGCTTCCTGTCCCCTAGAGACCTGTACCGTCCACCGTTCAAGTCATTTGTAAACGTTAAAAATGTATAAAGGGCAAAGTATAGACTCTCCCTCTTTTCCAGATGTGACCAGCGGTGGTGTCTTAGTGGGCTGTGCTATCTGCAGCGGGTGTCACCTGGCACAGGCAGAGACAGCGGTCGGTCCTTTACCGGAGGGCCGGGCGCTCCCTTTTCCCTAGAGACCTGTACCATCCACAGTCAGCTCCTGGGTGGTCTGCAGGACCCCGGGGAGAGCTGTCTCTGTTCCCTAGAGACCTGTACCGTCCATAGTCAGCTCCTGGGCGGTCTGCAGGACCCCGGGGAGAGCTGTCTCTGTTCCCTAGAGACCTGTACCATCCATAGTCAGCTCCTGGGCGGTCTCCGGGACCCCGGGGAGAGCTGTCTCTGTTGCTCATAAATGTCACGTCCACTTCAGTGTCACGCACTTGACCGAGGTGAGTGTTCTCCAGTTGGAACAGGTCCCCTTCCTTGCAATTTTTAAAACACGTGGGTCTGCAATTCACGAGCTCGACCCCTCACGGTGACTATTAGGCAGAGATGTCAGCTTTTCTTTCCAGTGACGCTCATCTGTGAGGGGTAAATAGCTGGGAAGAACCTAATGATCAGGGAAATCCATTATTATTTCCTACATGTGGAAACTTTTTGTTTTGGCTGTTGTATCTTTTTTTATCGAAGTGTTTATATTCCTCCTGAAGAAACCACTGTGTAAAAAACAAATTTTAATTTTGAATGAGATCATTTCAAAGAGTTATGAAGATGAGTTTTATAATCACTTATAAAGTATTCCCTGTATATTTCTGTTTACAAGTAAATTCTACGTCGATTAAGTAAAACATTTGCATTGATTTGTGCAACGGTAAATGAAAGGCACGTGCGATGCTGAACCTTGCTCAGACGTCGGGGCCGGTTCCCGGGGAAGCGTGGGTGGCTGTTCCGTGCGGAGGTGCAGGGAGGCGGGCTGAGGGCGCCCTGTGTAAACGCGGTGCTGAGCAGTGTGCAGTGATTGTACACGCGTGAGACGTGACAGCGGGCGACGTGGCCACCTATCGCAGGACACCTTTCCGCGCCAGTGCCCTTCAGGTGTTGCTGTCGACATTTACGTGATATTTATTTTAACCAAAATGTTATTCATATTAAATGTTTTTCTTTAAAATGAATGTATTTTGTTTATAACCCACGAATGCATAATTATCCTATGCCTCATATTTCAATAGTACTGTAATATGGACTTCTTTTGTGAAATACTTTTATTTTGTCATGCTTCAAATACACATACTAGAAATACTCCGTGGTTAGGTTTGAAAATTGTATGATATCCTAATATAAATAAAAATCTAAAATTGAAAAACGAGTACAATAAAATTTTTATGTCTCTGTGGTTTTTTTCCTCTATAAAGTCTACATTTTTCATCTCACGTGACCCTCTACCTGCAGACCAGTTCTCGTTCACGTCCGCAGCTTTGCCACCGTGAAGCAGCCTGAGGACCGAGCGGCCAGGGCCTCGATGGCGCTCCGGCCGGGCCCGCGAGGCGACCCGTCACGCGCGCGCAGCCAGGCCGGTCCCCACGCGGGCTGCTCCTGCAGCGCACCCCTTCTGTCTGAATAAGGAGTTTTCCGAATCACAAAAGGCCTACGCCGCAGGCGCCGGGTGTATCCCGGCCACCGTGACGTGCCGCCAACAGCACCGCGGATGGCGGATGGCGGTGTGTCCTTCCGTGGTGAGCGAGGACAGCCACTCAGCCTGCAAGCTCCGGTGGCCCGTGGCTGGACCTGCGGCCTGGCGAGGACATGCCCAGTCGGCCAGGGCACAGCCCGTCACTCACACGTTCCTGGCACGAGATGCTGTCGGATGAGCTGGAAATTTCATTTCAAAAGCACATCGGTTCGCCGGCAGCATTGGCGCTGGGCGTGGACGTCGGGACGTGTCCCCGACTGGGGCGGTCGAGGTTGCCCCCGGACGGGGCGATGGCTCTAGAGTCAAACGCAGACGTTACGGATGGAGACGTCTGCTAGGAGTCCGGCCAGAGACGGTCCGTGGCGTCGTCACGCCATGTGGCTTGAGTCACACGCGGACCCCCGTGGAATCGATGACGAAACAGACTCATCAGCCGACTTTTCAGAGAAAGACGTGGAAGTTCGTCAAGTCCATCTTACCCGAGAGGTTTGTTCGAGGGGGTTTCTGGTCCTCTTCACACCCATTTCATCCTTCACTTGGGTCTCGATGTCATTTAAATCCTTAGGACATAAAAAGTAAGAGACCTTTAAAGTTAGGATCTGCAGCGAGGGGCCTTTCAGTACGTTTTCACCGTGAATGTTAAAATGCGTAGAAAATCGTGTTTTCCCCACTCCTTTCTAGAAGTGCGATTCTCTGGGTCAGTTATTTAACTTAGCTCATCCTCGCGTCCTCGGGCGTACAGTGGGGATGTGAATCCCTGACTCTGCCGGAGAAGTAAGTTACAGTTCGTCTCGTAAAGGCCGGAGCAGCACCTGGCTGAACGTGGCCGCTGTTCCGTCTCGTCCCTCTGGACTGCTCGTCAAGGTCCCCACGCTTTCTCACCCACCGTGGGGCCCGGGCAGCCCCATCGCCCACCCTCAGCTGGCCTCTCATGGCTGATGCCAAACGCACGGGGTCGGGAGCCGCCCAGAAGAAACGCATCCCCGATTTCTCCCGCCGGTGCCCACGGCCGCGGACCGCTGTGCGGCTCTCCAGTCCCTGCTCGCTCCGAGCCCCCAGAGGTCCGGGCGCGTCCGGTGCCGCCCAGCGCGGCGTCAGCGCTTTGGGCTTCGCTCGGCGCCCGCTCCGTCTTCGCTGACTTGGGAGATGCGCGTCGGGACCGGCGCGGGGCCGGGCGCTCCGGGGCTTCGTGCAGAGAGGTGGAGACAGCAGCGGTCGGGCCGGGCGAGGACGGGGACGGAGACGGAGGCGAGGGCCACACGCAGATGGAGAAGCTGGGCCGGGAGGAGGGGGCGGGG